GTACCAAACACTCAACTGAACACTTGAAATTCATTTCAGGCACGATTGGCTCGTTCTAAAAGTTTTTTCTCACTAAAAGTTTTGAACAGAAATACTGCCTGGCCCAACAGAGTTGGTAGCCTGGTCCCCGCTTCAAACACGAGAACACAGTCAGATGTACCGTCATTTTAGAACAGCAGAAAGTTAGTTATAAACTCGAACAACCACCCACACATCCCTTCACACCTACTATGCCATCTTACGAAAGTACTGTGCTAAACACACACACAGTCCATACTCTCCTCACTGTCAGAGGGCAGTTTAAAGAATACGTAATTATTTACGATGGCTGAGAAAGAGTATTCAGTCAAAGCTCAAGGCACAAAGGTACTCCGATTTTTTGCTGCCAAAGCTTACCGGCAATCAGAGTAGCAGTGTGAACACTTCGGAAATGTAGCAGCTGTACAGGTGTATGGGTAAACTGTTGACTGCAGTAACACAACCTAAGCCAAAAGTATGTGGACACCTGGTCATTCAACATCTCATGGAAAAACCATGAAAATCAAGAATTCATATGAAGTTAAGCCCCCCTCACTGCTATAATGGCCTCCAATCTTCTATTCTTAGCTAGATGTGAGAACATTGCAGTTATGAATTGCAGCCATTACACCCAGACATGCATTAGAGAATTAAGGCACTGTAGTTGGGCGATTAAGTGAGCCTAGCTTAAAAGGTAACCAATCCGTTCCATTTTTTTGGACATAATTTAATAGATATGACCAGGGCCGTCACAGTGGGGGGGTTATCCGGGTAAGCTGTTCTGGGGCCCTAAGCACGGGGGGGCCCTTGGCATTTGTTAAACTTTGAATATTTTTTTCTTTTAAAAAAATTGGGGGGCCCTTCAGGAGGCTTATTCCTGGGGCCCAGAATTTGGTGCTACGCCCCTGGATATGACCAAAACAAACGAGAACGCTTGCAACCCCCCAAATATTGAATGTGAAAATAGTTTTTGCAACCCGCAAAAACTCCGAGCCATTTGAAATACCTCATTAGTATTCATGAGAATGCAAAAATGATGTCACGTGAAAGCGGATGTGCGCGGTGGACGCAAAAATGAAAAGAAGTTTGCCAACAGCAACATGCCGTGGTCAAAGAAATATCTGACTGATTCGGCCCGTAAAAGAGCAAGAAAAGGCCAGGTAGAAGATCGATTGAAGGCCAGGATAAATATAAAAGGCCAAAGTGATTGCTGGCAAACTTTTAAAGCCAAGTTTGGAGATATTTCCGATGAAGATGTGGCCAATCTTTAGCTGGATATGTAAGAAAACTTGATGCCCGGTGAAAATGCCCGATTTACCCGTTTCCTAGCACTTTAAGATCGTTAATGTACTTGAAATCGTCCCATATTTGTCACTAGACATATTTATAGTAATGAATTTCTAATGCATGAACGTAATTTATTTACTAGCAGTCGAATCTGATGACTGATCTGACGTGACTTTTCAAGCTAATCGCTCATGCATATTAAGTAGCAGGCACGTCGAAATGGCTGCGGTCCACCACCCACAGTGGCTGTTCGTAACGGTCGAGTGTTTGCTTTCCTTCGGAGATTATCCTTGTTAGGGGTAGAGGACGACATAAAAACTTAAACACAAATCTTTTTATTGGTACAGCCTGGCAAATTATGCGAAAAAAAAGTTGAGGATAAGGAATGAATAGGTTACCTTTAAAGTTGGCCCTCCAGTTTATTCCAACGCTCTGTGTCTGTTTTTCACACTGCTTTGGTCTCAACCCCCATCAATCTGCACACTAATCTCTAAAATTAGGGAATCATCTGGAATGCAGTAGTATGTAATAGCATCAAGATTTTCAAAATTAAAATGCTTTTCCGATGTAACCAAAGGGCGCATCACACACTGTGACCAGCAGCCCCAGACCCCAATACCACAGCCTCTCACCCCCTCCCAGGCACTGCAGTTTTGCAGTCAGTGATCATTTTGTTCTGGCTTTTCGCCCTCCAGTCTAGGGGACTTGGACTGTATTTATCATTCAGGTTTATGTTTTGAGGTCCATGACCAGCGATTAAGCCATATGTAACAAATACTGTACCTTATCTGACCTCTCAGTTTGACCTGTGTTGGGCAGGTGGTTCGGAGACCTTTGGCATGCACTAACTGTATGTCACTTAATTAAATAAAATTTAATTAAATAAAAAGGGTCAACCAAACCCGTGTGTCCACATACTTTTGGCCGCATAGCGTACCTGGCACACGCGTGTGTATGGAGGAACATGTAAACTGCGCAGGCTGGAATGGTCATCTAAAAAAGTGTCGATAATGCAGCTAGCAAAAGCACTTAGGGTTTGGTCCATTAATTCTCACCCCCCCCACTCCTCCCTGACTGTCTGTCCATCAGCTAAGCACTGTATCTACACGCCCGGGTTTGGGGGCTTGGGGGCGGGAGGACAATATTCGGGCGGGGCCTCAGGCTCAGCCGTCGCTGGGGGCGGAGTCTGGGTGGGCGGAGTCTTCGGGGGCGGGAGGGCTGAGGATCCGTCCCTCGCTGTGCATGCGCTGGAGGGTGAGGCGAAAAGCCTCCATCATCGCGTGGGCGAGCCTTTTGGCCTCCATCTTGCTGGCGCACTCCACCGCGTGGCAGTCCATCTGGAAGCTCAGGTCGTCGTTGATCTGCCGGTAGATCCAGGCGAAGACATTGGGGCTGACAGCGTGGTCTGCCGTGCAATAGGCGATTCGCGACACCTGGTGCGTCTCCGCGGCGAACGACGAGGCCCCGCCCTCCCGCTCTTCCAGGGGGAGGAGACGCACCTGGGAGGGGCGGATCTCCAGGAGGGCGTCGGCCTGAGAGGGGGGGTTGGCCCGGGCCCTGCCTTCCCACAGTCCTGCCACCGCCGACTCCGTGCACCCCGAGAGGAACTGGGTTCCCGAAACAGTCACCTTCCCCAGATACGCCACCTACAGGAGAGTGGAGAAATACAACAACTATGTCATTAACAGTAGTTGCACGCACAGGCACACACACAATCCGACACAAACACAGAGACACACAAACACTGACAAACAAAGACATAAAAGAACATAAGTGCAGCGCATAGGTCAACTGGGCCAGGAACCTGTTCCACAAAGCAGGATTATTCAGTTAGTGGGATAACTGCACAAAGAAAAAACAGGAAACCTCTCAAATCCTGAGGTAAAAAGAGCTGAGTTCCAGGCTTTGCTGTAAGCAGTTATCTGGTTAACTCTGCAATCCTGCTTTGTGGAACAGGGTGCAGGGGCTAAATAGTGAAAATCCTGCCATATGTTGGTTTCATCCATTGAGTCATCAGCCAGCTAATTTCTACAACTTCTGCCTCAAGAACTGGAGTTTGACAGTCCTAATGTGGCTCATGATGGGTGAAGCTACAACACAGAAAGAGGGAAAACTAAATCTGGATCAGTGCTCCTGCCATACGAAGTTTCATCAACACAAACCCAGAGTAGCGAGCTCTGAAGTCTGCTATCGGAAGGGGCTAACAGAACTTAGCACGTTAGCGCTAAAAATTTATTTTCAGGTATCACACACACGTTTGTGCTCAGGCACGTTAGTCCTTACAATTTAACTTTTTTTCTTTTTACAAACTAACTTACTAGCCAGAAAAAATTGCTTCTACCTTTGGAAATCCATTTTTTTGTTTTTTCATTTCTCTCCAAGAATACTCAAAAATGGCAAATTCAATGATGGGTAAACGAAGACTGCTTAATCTCCAGGGAACAAGCCAATGATCGGCGAGACATTATGATTGCCAGGGAACCCGGCCACACAGATTACATCTTCAAACAATGAAGCGGTCTCAACCTCCCAAGCCCCGCCCACAAGAGGCGGGGTGAGGGGTGGGGCTCCACTGCCTGGACCCTGCTGCCTCTCTCTGAGCCTGTGGTGGCAGCTGTCGCCACAGAAACGAATACACGCGGCAACACAAAAACCCTTCTGTTCCGTACTTGAGATTATTTATCAGAGAGAGTGCGCGACATAATGATGTGTGTACGAGTAAGAGCATGTTCGTGTGCGTGTCTTTGAGCCCTAAGTCTGTGTAAGATGAAAGTGCAGCCTTGTCTGTGAGAATCGATTGTAAATAATCCCCAATAATCGGTAAAATTACAGGACCAGGTGCGAAACACCCAGTAATGAGCATCTCAAAATGGCCGCCAGGACAGGAGAAAAACGCAGTCACAACAACAGGGGCCACCTTCCACAAGGGCCACCGTTTATGCTGGTTTTTATGATGGAGATTCAACCATGTATCGGTGCAGTCCATTGACTGTTGAATCACTTTGGACGAAGTCAACAGGAAGTCAGCGATCCGCATCCTCTTAGGCTTGATGTACAGTACTTCAGTGCCGGGAAGGGTTGGTCTTGGGGACTGCCATGTTGTACAACGTCGTACTGTCTGCGCCGTGCAGCCATCAAGTCAAGTCGCTCGCTAAGCGCGTTAATTAGATTTCGCAACCTGCATCTGATTCTTTCACAGAATATTTCCATCGTGCCAACAACACAGCAGCTCAACAAAATCCGCCCACAGCGAGAAGATTAGACACAGAACAAAAAAATATTGTGTGAATTATTATGTGAAATTTGGAAGTTACCATCAAATTGAAAGGATGACAGGAACTCGATGACCAGTGCTGGAACTAGCCGCAATGGTGCTACTGAGAAACGACTCACAACACCAGGAGATCCTCAAACAAGAAGCTCGATTGTGGCTGCTTGGTGCAGACAGAGTTAAGATTAAAATATACTTTATTGAGCCCCCTGGAGTAATCTGTCCCACAACTTGCTAGTTGGGAGCAAAGGGCAGCCACAGTGTAGCACCCGAAACCCATTCCAGATCTAAAGCTAGAACCTTTATCAAGGGCACTTGCGGGAGAGTTATTCTAATACATGTTTTTTTAGGTTGGGGGAACTGGAGAACCCGAAGGAAACCTGCACTAACACAGACAGAACATGCAAACTCTAGGCAGAGGGGTCATGGGGCTGGGGCTCGAACCCAGAACCTCCCTGCTGACAGGCAGCAGTGATAACCACTGTGCCACCCTGCATACCCAATGCAATGTCTGCCACATGCACTGAACAGACTCTACATGTACACCAATTCCCTTAAAAAAATTCATATATACAGGGCAGTCACAGCCTGCAATATTAGGAGAGTTACTATAAATAAATGCTTGCATTAAGATCACCTGGTATGGACATGAACGCCCTCAAAATGAAAGCCGAAAGCAAGTTTGCCCTTTAAACTCTGACGTTAGTTATTCCTTTTCATTTTGCGGCCGTACAGAGCTTAAACAAATAAACAAAAAAGTTACCGTATTAATGTCCACACACTTGCAGACCGCAGTGCACAATCAGTAAATTCCTGTTATATTTACACATTATTCAGATACCGCAAAGTGACGAGGCATATTTGGCCGAGCGTCCTGCTCTTTGCAAAAGCGGTAATGTTGCAATGTTCTCAAAGTCCTGGGGGGACTATCGCATGCCAGGCAAACCTCATGTCTTAAATAGCTTTTCAGCTCCATCGTTTTCAAGCCAACGTTTCAACAACAACAAAGAAGTACGATTAAATTCTGTGGACTTCAAACTCGGTAGAGGAATAATTGTCCAATTACACAGTTTTGCTGCAATAAATCATTAAATCATTCAATCCTCATGTAACTGTTTTATGATACCATATATTATGCATTAGGATGGATGAATAATTTATTGACAATATAATTGCTTTAATGGAGTTTTATATAATCACTCCGTTTGACTGACAGGTTTTAATTATTTATGCACAGATTCCCTCAGCCTGGTCTGCGGCTCTATCGTCATGGCAACAAAGTGAACTCCAGATAGGGCGGTCGAGCCAGCGTGAGTGTGCTTGGTAAACTCGTGTACTTGTTGAATAGTCCGTTAAACACTCCCCGCCCCTGACCAATCACATCGCTGAGAAAGTAGTACACTTTAATGTAAAGTCCTAACCTAACCTAACCCTGTCAAATCGCACTGCAGGCATATAGCCATCGTCAGTGGATGTACATACCCCATCCATCATCCAGCCGTCAAAGCTAACAGGGGAAGAATAGGCTAAAAGTGCCTACATCACCCAGCGTTAGCGAGGTCGCTTCGGCACACAGAGAGTCTGATGACCCTTTGCATAATACGCCCTCCATAAGGGCCCTATACATAAACATCTTTTCCCCATAAACGGTTCCAGAAGTGCTTTAAAAGCCTCGCCGCGCATGCCGTTGGGGTTTACAGTAAGTCCCAGCACAAAGCAGATTGTTCTGCAGTAATTACAACACTCCCCGTCAGCTTATTACAAGTCCAGGAATGGCACTGAAATGTTCCAGTGTGCCTTGAGATTTCTGTTCCCAATTAGCGACACGTCAATTGCCACTATACATTATAAATGCGGATCCATGGACCCTGGTAACGCTGGACGGTGAAGGATTACTGAGGAGGGAATTTAAGGCGAAACCTTAGATGAACGCAAGAGACTTAGATAACAGTGGTATGTTCAGGACATCTCATCTACTGATGAGGAACCAGGTTAGCAGGCCAGGCTGCTACAGAAAACCCAATTCCAGTGTACAAAGACAAAACTACTAATCCAGCAAGACTCATATAGATTCAGCTTCACACATTCTGATCCTCCATACATACTGGCTTTACTTGCAGACATTCTGGGGATTTTCCAAGACCAGGCACTTTCCTAGAAGGAGAATGGCCATCTTTCATTGGCTGAATGGCCGATACACATCACTCTGCTATGACATGTTATGATTTGTGTCCATATACATTGATCTTGGCCAGGGAGTGGCAACTCCGGTCCTGGAGGACCACAGCTGGTTTTTGGTGTGATTCCACACAAGTGATAAATTTAAATCACTGATTGGCTAATGAGTCCACACACCGTTCATCAGGCTTTGATTGTCTGCCGATTTCAAGGAGATCAACGCAGACACTGAGGCCCTTCAGGACCAAAGTTGCCCAAAGTTCCTGATAGACACAGACCAAAATGGTGTTGACAAAGCTCAGGCAGGTTTGGTACCAAATTAGACCCACAAATTTTAAGGTGGTGACTACCCATCATTTTCATGAAAAAGTCCAAATTTAATTTTTTTTTTTATCCTCACAGGCTTCCATACTGAATACACTTTCAAGTCAGCTGATTAGTATTTTGATTAATAAGTCTATTTTTTTGCAGAAAAAGGGTTTTTAAAATGGTTTATTTCATGCAAAAGGTTTGTTTACATCCTCATTATATATTCAAACAGTCATAAACTTCTCTCAGAAACAAGAGAATTCTCACTAAAGATGAACTTCTTCTGGGGTGTTTGCATGGTCGCACACAGAATCAGAATGAGGCAATAAATCAGCTGTACTGGATTTGATGTCCAAAAGGAGTTTACGTAGGAAAGGATGTGCTGGAGTTCGGGGTGTACAATAATCAATAATCATCTATAATAGTGGACTGAAGGCCTGCAGTGATGTTCTAAAGCACACAGGACTTGATCCTGGGTCATACTGTTTGGCAGCGTATAACAAAATCGATGGCAATAGGCAATACCAGGCTGAGCGTAAAGTCTCTGAAAAGGAATCCAGGAGGAGAAAATATCTCAGATGGAAAAAGAAGGGCAGATAGGACAGGTGTCAAGAAAGGAAAGGAACACTGTATGAGTCTGGGGCATTTTGAGGCCAAATTATTGCATGTTGAAAGCTGTTTGCGGGTAAGAAAGTGATGCACAAACTTCCAATGCGTTTTTCTTTAAAACTTGGTTTTATGACTTCAAACAGTAATGTTGACATAAGTATTAGTCCCACTGACTTGAGCTTTGGACAGAAGCTAGAATTTATGGACTTTTATACAACCTACCAAACTGAACTCAACTATAAACACTGAGGTAGCTGTTGCCATGGATACCCCTCAAAACACCGAATGTGAAGGTCTAAATCTAAATAAAATTTGTAAAAATATTTCCTGTGGACTGAGATTCTAGATTTTGGCAGGTTTCATAAAGGAAATGGTCTTGTTTTATAAGGGAAAAAATCCATATCAATATATCAATTAGCTATGGAGTATTTTTTGTTTACACAATGGCGGCCATCTTGAATTCTCATTGCCATGGTAACCAAATGACCAAAATTAGGGTCAAATGTAATCTTTCATTCCAAACAACTATCTGACAAGTTGGAATGAAAAAATTCCCTAGTATATGAAAATTGGTCTCCTTGGGGTAGTTGCCACCTTAAGACAGATCCGCACATGCTGATTCAGTTCCATGAGAACTGGCCTGGCAGAGACCAGCATGGTGCCAGAGGCAACAGAGGTCCAAGTGGGCCTGGTGTTTGCCCAAAGTGGGCAGAACCTTGCAGCTTGTGCAGACCTGCTGTTAGCCAGATACAGGTGATAGATGTAGCCTGGGGAAGTCTGGTACCTTGTAGCCTGTCGGGGCGGCTCGGTTCTTGGCCAATGGCGTCGTGGAGCGGAGCTCGATATCCTCTGGCTCGTGGAACACGACCGTCGGGACCGGATCCTTCTTCAGGGTCAGCACGTTCAGTTTGGACTTCAGCATCGTCTGGAAGTGCTAGAAGAAACAAGGAGGTCACAAAAGACACAAAGCAGAAAGATTAACACACCACAGAGAGATAAATGAGAGCAGTCGAGTCAATTTAACAAAATAGTGTCCAGAGAACTCGTATCAGGGACACTGTGTACTCTGCCTGAGTCGGCGAGATAGGTCGACGCTGCAGGTATCCACAGGAGAAGACAAACTGTACTCGCAGTTTATGTTCCAGAGCATGAGACGTGATGCACAGTGCCTACATCCCTTGTGCCAGACCAGAGCATTCATCACAGCCAAAATAGAGTGTCAAGACCCCTCCTGTGTTACCACACACCACAGCTGGGTAACCCAATCCCAGGAGAGCCGGTTCCACATCTTATTTCAAGCTCTGAGCCCATATATGTAATTACACGGGGAGGGTATTTGACAAGGCAGTATTTCCACAATAGTTGCTACACTTGGTCAAACTGGGTAAAACACAGAACAGCAGTTTTTAGTCTGAGTTTAAGATTTTGGAGGGATCCAGGTTTTAATAATAATTTTCCAGCCAAACTCAGCAGTCCAATTTCATGAAACAAGGCCCTAAATCAAGGCTCCTGGATCCCAAAGCCTTTATTTTCCATTTCAGGATTTCATTTCAGCTTCAAAGCATTAGAGTTTAATCCCACATCCAACCCCAGGTCACACATGGTCATGCCAAAGTAAAGCTCAGTTAAGACAGAGCCACAGACAACAAAAATTGAGAGCCGCAAAGTAATTTTTTACAGAATAAGATAAAACTAAACATCTGAATGTGTCTATGTGAAGGCCACTCGGCAATCAATGTCACTAGGAATTCGGGAACAACAACTTTGTTATGAATTGCTTATCTACAAACCTGTGAGAGTGAAGGCTGTGCCAGCGTCACTTTGTGGCAAACAATGGTTTTAGCGAGAGAGGGGCTGTTCCCCCCAGGGACGAATGTTGTCGCAAAAGGCAAGCGCTTGTCTGATATCATCAACACAAATGGCAACCTTCAAACCCCACCTCATGTGATGTTCTGTTGAAAAAGCACCCTAAAAAGCCGTCAACAGTTAATTTATTGAGGGAATGCATGCCATTGCATAATCTCCTTACGGGTCAATATTCCACTTTGAAGGGTGTTAGCGTTCAGTAAATTCATATCTCAACAGTACCACCGCGCAAACGTCTCTGTAATCCGCATCGCCGTGAAGGGGGGCTCGGGTAGGGGGGAAATTGAGCAAGATCACTTGGCAGGCCGTGTCGTGCCATCTGGAGAGCATTACTGCGAAGGGGGATCGAGTGCCAGCCATCACACCCGGTACCCTGGGGAATACAGCACGCGTCACTGATCATTTATTCACTTACACAAGGAGATCACAAAATTATGATGGCGATCGAATGATGATACGTTCATTCAATTCAGCTTGAATGATACGACGTTGACTAAAGCTGAATGTTACGTAATTTGCATACTAGTGAGCAGCT